ATTGAACCTTCACCTCGCCAGAGTTTTTGTTTTAAGTGCGTTCCACCAACTTCAAATACCGGCAGACAGCTAGACTTATCAATGTCGGGCAGTTTGGTGTATTGGAACACACCAAAAACAAAAGACACCTGAGCTTATATACTGTCCACCTAAGTCAACCGAGGTGAGATGTAAGAACATCACGTGATTGCATCAATCGGTACATACTGTGCATTTTACATAACATTATAAAAATCAAAGAAGATTACTCAAATTGTATTATAATTTTGTATTGGTATACACTGATTTGTAATTTTACTCATTCTTTGTTTTGCAAAACAATTGTAATTTTACAACAAATTTTAACAGTGTACATAATTAAAATGATATATAGTAAAAATGCAAACAAGTTGTATAAAATAAATAATGATTTGTATATTTCCAAACACTTATTGTACTTCAAATAGCAAATTTTGGTTAGTAATTTTATTGATTATCTTAGTAAAATTAAATTCCGAATATGTATAGAAATTTTACAAAATTTCAAATTCAATTCCACAATACAGAATTGTGAAATTACTATAAGTATCTGACAAAAACAAAAACATTGTAAAATTGGAAGTTTAGTACTTTGGCATAACAAAATGTAATATTACAACAAATGCGAATTAAAATTGCAATACAATACAACATTTTGTAATTTTACTATTTTATTTTTAACAGTGTACAGGCATTTTAGGGGCATTGATTGGTGTTGCGTATACAAGTTATATAACCAATTCAATATATTGACATAAGTAGGTATAATAAATTTATTTAATTAAGTTTGAATCCGTAACCAAGAAGTTTGGTTAAGGCTTAATATATATATATAGTAAACTTACAAGTTAAAACATATTTCTATGATTAAAGATTTAAGGATTTACCTTAAGTATGCAAAACTGTCAAACTTAAAACTTGACTGGTATTTGGTATTTGCTCGTTTATAAACGACAAATATTATTACAAAAACACTGATTAAAATAACTAATTTAAACATTTGTATAAAGCGTCATCTTCGCAAAAATAAAGTAATCAAAATTGGTGTTATCTATGCTTTTAAAATTTCTCCCTTAAAAATGGACTAACAACCGTTTAAATCCGATATGTAAGCAGTTTTTCACAGTGAAAGTGAAGAGGATGTTTTAAGGGGTACTAATAATTAATTATTCATTATTATTCTTTTCCCCTATCTATGAAAAAAATATTAAAATACGTTTTCGACAGATTTAACCAGAACCTTGTCAAGTGGTAATGATTTTCAATCAACGATAAAAAGCGACATATTGAAATAATTTTTAAAACATCGCCAAAATATGTCAACATGTAATCTCATCTTTTGCATAAAATATGAGCCACAATCTTTGGTTTTATACCACAAAAAATACATGGAATAAAAAGTTTTATATTTTATATTAAAATCGTATCATTTTAGAAATGCGTCGCAGAGAGCAAGCAATGTTTAATCGTAAATTTAATACTCCAGAATATTTATATATATTTTGTGGCACAAGGGACATACGAAAAACGAAAAATAAAAGGTCAGACTCGTGTACACTGTAAATTTTATTTGTGCTTTCTATTCAATTGCTCACCTAGATTTAAAATATTACTTCATCAAACCGTATTTAGTAGGTAAACAAAATTTAGATTAAAGGAAATCGACTTGGTCAAAGGAAAAGCATTTCAAAAGCTACCAATTTATCGGGCGTGTTTATTTAAAAAAAAACAACCTTTATACATAAAATAATAAAGATTTAATAACGAAAATTAGTTAATTACAAGCAAAATATTTCGTCAAGTCGATTAAAATCTTAATGGGCTTTGCAGTACAGTTTATAAACATTCTATCAAAAATTAATTCAAATTTATACACAAAGGTAAAGCTCCAAGAAATATTAGTTTAGACATTTTTAATGTCACATTTTTGAAAATAGTTTTCGAGATATTTAATAGTATTATTAAAAACTAAATTTTTCACTTTTAATATTTAATATCTATGAAACTATCTTCCTATAACACAGTACGACGTTTTTTCAGATCACCTCATTTTTTTTAAGTGCGATCCAATATAATGTTATTCACGGTATTCGGCACATAATATAACAGCTTCGATAACAGCTAGACAGTATATTTTCATGAAAAATGTATTTACTGAATAAATGGACAACCATTAAGATTATTTATTTATTTTAAATTATTTTTATTATATACATGGTGTTGCACATTTACGAAATACGGGTGTTTCACCGGCTTGACCGGAAGTGACATCAACTTTGTTATTTTAAATGAAACACTCCATATATTTTTACATTTTTAAATTCTACATACAATTTTGAGTAAAATTACTGTACCATGTCCTATACCTAGGGTAAATAGTTTTGGAGTTATTATTTTTTTCCGTTAAAATATGACAAATGCGCGTCAATCAAAAATAGCCTATAACTTTCTTGCTATTAGGTTTACGGAAATGGGGGTGGAATTTTTGGAATCTTAAAACATTGTTTAAAAGATTCCATGTCAATTTCTTAACATACCGTGTGTTACATTTAAAATAAAAAAGTTATTAACGTTTCAAGTTTGCCCAATTTGCCCTGGGTTTTCTCGGGTAATTTGTTGAAAAATGTTAAAGAATTGACATCGAATTTTTTAAACAATGTTTTAAGATTCCAAACATTTTAACCCCATATCCGTAAACCTAATAGCAAACAGCTCGAAAGCAATGTATAATCGTCAAACTAAAAGATCAAGATTTGTTTCCAACATATATTTTATATAAGATAAATACAAATCTGTTGTTTTAAAAAAAAATCAAAAATTAAAACCAGAAATATTTTTTTTACTTAAATGAAATAAAATAGTTATTTTCTTTAAGTAGAATTTTTGTATTATGTAAAAACATAAATATTTGCAGAAAAAAAATGATTTATAACAAAATAGAGAATTAAAAATCTGTTTAGGTTAAAATTATAAGAATGGCTGTGTAAATAATTAAAATGGGAGGAAAATCGTGGTGTACTGTGTAATAATAAATAAGTAAACTCTCAAAAAATGCGGATAAGTTGTAGTACGTGACAAAAAATTATTTTTAATTTAAATCAGCTAAACAACATAAACAACACTTGACAAATAGACCAAATTAAAATCCGGTCTTAACAAGTCTTTGCTTGTAAACAAGAAACGCTTCTTTTTTATCAAATTTATGTAATTAAAATCTGATGTTTACAAAAAACCGTCTCAAGGTACTTTGAATCGAATATTAAACAATACAACCAACAGTTTCAAACATAATATGTTTTTTTTTTCGTTGAAGTTTTAACCACATCTTTTTAATCTTTATTATATTTAGAAAAAACTGTATGCAAATTTCATAAAGTGCTAATTAATTGTTTATTTTTAGGTTAAGGGTATGTATGCAATTATTACTTTGTTACAAATTAAATTGTTTTTTAAAATATGTAAAAATATACAGGGTGTCTCAATTATTTTTTTTTATTTTAGTGAATATTTCGGAACCCGAAGTTTAAATGTTTTTTTCTACTCTCTCCTTTAAAACGCCCTTTATCGTACATGTTTCCATGACACTACCTTTTAAATACACATTGACAAGTTGTGGCTTTACGGCGCTTTAGTCACGGGCTGAAGTTAGCAACAGGTTTTTAGTCACGGGCTGAAGTTAGTTTTAACTTAGTTGACCGTTGTCAAATGTCATACAATCGTTGAAATAAAGTGCCTTTCTTGTAAAATAATACTAAATGTGAAAATTATTTTATTATCTCAATACAAAAATATTAAATAGTTTCTCAACGCCAATATTTGAAAAGTTTATATGAACATTGTACTGACCTTTTAATTTCGCCGGCAGTAAACTATAACTTAAATTTGGGCACGGACTCTACTGTAAAGTCCTCATAAAACATTTCCTTTACTTTCACTGTGAAAAACTGTCAATCTTCAAGATACATTTCGATTTATAACCTTTATAATTGTGTTTATAAAATGTAAAAATGTGACATTTGACAGTTTCCCCTATTGTTTCATAGATGGCGCTCTATACAAATTTTTTATTTAAATCATTTTAAGATAATAATAAGTATTTGTCGTAGAAAAAGTATAGTATGCACCTCGTTTATAAACTTTTCTATACACTCATTAATTTAAGAACTCGCTCGCAAGCTCGCTCGTGCCTAAATTAAATTCGTGTATAAAATGGCGTTTATCAAACTTGATACATAATATACTATTCTGTTTTCACTATTTTAACCAGAAGAAAAAATGCCACCAATTTGATAATTTAACCGACTTTGTTCATATAACTTGTACACATTGTATAAAGAAATACAGTAACAATAGACAGTGATTAACGATTATTCACTGACGATTAATAGTTGGTAATTAATTTTAACAAGGTATTGTTGAAACAACACAATTAAAAACTTTGCCAATTTTAATAATAATTCAACTGGTTATCTGATATACTGTTTAACAATATAATCAATCAATTGATAATTTTAATTTGTTAACGTGCTTTTCTACGGTAAACCACATAGTTATTGGACACTTAAGGAATAATATTTTTTTTAAATTTATATATGCCGTTGTTTTAAAGATTTTAGTTTTTATCTTATAAATAAAAAGGATAGTTTCTTTGTTTAAACTTTATGTCTAAAATAACCAACATTTTTAGAATTAAAGAAATTAAAATGTCCTAAATCCTAAAATTAAAATAACACAAACTTTATTAACTGTCTGAAATGACCAAAAACTGTCTAAAAGAGTGTTTAAATTGTTGTTTATTTTAGATAGTTTCAAAACACATGTTCATTTTAGATTTTAATTCTAAAAATGTGCATTACTATTTTTATTGACTTTGCACATACATGTATGTATACATATGTATACATGTATACAGGTATGTAGGTATTGTACTTACTTATAATTGTTATAGGTGTTTGATGTACTTTTTCTTTATTGTTTTTCAGAATATGTGGTATTTAAAAACAGCAAAGTGTGCACTGATGGGTACTTCCAATGCGCAAACGACACATTGTGCGTGGAACAGGGGAAAATCTGCAATAGCGTGGAAGATTGCAAAGACGGTAGCGACGAAAGAAACTGCGGTAAGTTGCTAAATGAAAACTCAAACAAAACGGACGAAACAAAACATTTTCAACAAATTAAATCCCCAATAAAATACAACGCCAACGGAATAAGCTTTGTTTATAATAAAAACTGCCATCCACCACATCTTCAGTCATGCGATATAAAACCACCAATCAGAGCAAGCCCAAGCTCTATGTAGGTAAATAGTTTTCGAAAATTTGGTGTAATTTTTTTTTCAATTGCAGAGGACGTTCACGATAACAACTATTTCGACCAAATGGTCAGGAAGAATCCTTCGGCAGAACATGACGATGACGACCAGAATTGCGGTAAGCGAATTAAACGATAAAAATCGGCAACCCAAACGCTCCGTTGTAACAATAAAATAAAATAAAAAGCACCGCATGAAAAAATAAACCGGAATAGATATCGTATAATTTTCAGCACTTTCCTTTAATGGAACGGGCTGTCTGTGCCGGAGCAGAGGTCTTTATTGCCGGAACTTAAATCTGGATGTTGCTCCTGATATCCCCGACGAGGAAATTGACATTCTGTAAGAAAATTCATTAATAAGATGTGAAGTTTGGACAATTTTCTAGCCAAGTCCGCATGACTTCCTTTGGCATTACATTTCCTTAAAATACCACTAAAATGCAAAAATAATGAAAATTTAACCCTTTAAGGTTCTTATTTTTAATTAAAAAAATCATCATTTTTACATTATTGAAATTTTTTAATAAAAATCAAGTAAAGTAGAAATTTTGTTCTCGATCTATGACAGCGGCGTGGAAAATTGTGATGTGTCGCTCTTGCCATCATACCCGGATGATTTCGGATTTCATCTGCCGCTGCAGTGACAAGTCGGTTTTGTCAAAAAAAAAATCATATTTTTTTGTATTAAAAAACAGAAGCTGTAATGCAAAAATGATGCACCCTGTATACACAAAATATTCCCAAAAAGCGCGGATTTTAAAAATCTCAAAAACGAATAAATAAAATTTGACATTTTTTTGGTGAAATCAATTGAAAAATAAACCGTAACTAAATGAGGTCATGCGATAGCTAGAAATGATCAAATCTGGCGGGGTTAATGTTGTGACGTTTTTGTTTTTCAGCGATTTTACAGGAAATAATTTCACGAGTTTGTCTTCGAGAACACTGGAGACGCTGCCTAATACGGTGAAAAAATTGTAAGTACCGTTTTAAAAAATATATTAAAAATATCAAATTTTGATATACCAAATCGAGCACTTTTGATCCCGACCTCTTTCAATTTGGCTGAAACTTTTTTATCATTCCAAAAAATTTTCAGAATTTTTTTACCCAACCAAAAAAAGTTATGAATTTTTCAAAAAAATGGCTCGTTATTTTTCAAATATTAAAAAAAAAGTTATTTTGATATGTACTTTTCAGAAAAAAAATGGAAAACAATTTTTCAGGTTTTTTTTTAGTTTTCAGAAAAAATCTAAAATTTTTCGATTATTGTTATTTGGCGTTTTTTCGTTTTTCAATTCTTTTTTCAATTGAAATTGAAAAAAAGTAATAAATATATTTATTACTTTTTTTCAATTTCAATTGAAAAAAGAATTGAAAAACGAAAAAACGCCAAAAAATTAAAATAACAATAATATTTTATAAAAGTGCAAGTGGTAATCATCAAAGAAATTTCAATGTTTTTCAAAAAAGTACAAAAAAATATTTTTTAAAATATATTTTTTGTATAAACTACATTGAAAAACAACAACCGGCTTTTAAAACATTTTAAGTGGTTAAATTGTGATGGAATTCGTTTCATGTATTTTTATCAACACTTCGCTTTTTTTAAATTTAGTTAAAAAAAAATAATAATATAAAAAAATTATTCATACTATCTTCTATTTTTTTTTCAATTTGATTTTTTTCAAACTGTGAGTTTCTTTCTAGATCCTCAAATATCTTCATAGTGCTTGTATGTGAAAAGGGTTGAGATAATTTTTTTTTCAATTGGAACAAATTAAAAACAAAAAAATGACACTACAAATTTCGGAGAATTTGCAGAAAATGTCAGTTTCTAATGAAAAAAAAAAAAGAAAAAAATTAAAAATGACGATCATTAAGAAATTTTCGAAAAAGTAAAAAAATAGAAGATATTTCTGAATATTTTTTTTTAATTTATTTTTTTAATTATTAAAAAAACATAGTTTATTAAATAATTTTATTTATTGTAAATAAAATTTTGTTTCATTTTATTTGTTTTTAAATGTAGATATAAAAAATATTTGTATATAAAAAAATATTCTTCCTTTGAAATTTTTTCGATGATTACCAATTTCACTTTAAATTTTAGATAATTTGAAGAAAATCTCAGTTTCTAATAGAAAAAAGATATTATTATTTTATTTATTATATTATTATAATTTTTTTTATCTATTTTGCGTTCATAATGACTTCATTATAACACCGCTTTCGGTGCTGTAATGAGATACTTTATCCCACCCAAAATTTTGATTTTATAGGTTGGCTATACTTTAAACAGCACAATATTTTGCATATTGGTTATATTTTTATGATTTTTCTAGTACTTACGAGACTTTTCTGGCAATAAATTTTGTTTAACACCAAAGAAAATCCTTTTTTTCTTCTTTAACATTAACAGCCGCTCATTGTAAATAAGTAAATTAAGGACGGCATGGCGAATCGATTTTGACATTAACTGTCAAACCAATGACTGTGATACCAACTATCTAAAGTAAAATTCGACAAAATTTTTTAGAATTTTTGCAAAATAGATAAAATAGATAAAAGAACTCATGTCATAAGACCTTTTGTCGTCTTATGACATTAGTTCTTTAATATACTATTATTTATTGTATTTATATAAAATAAGTTTTATTATTTTTATTTGTTTTTAAATGTAGAACTATCTTTATTTAGTTTATTTAAAAACAATCATCCCAATGAGTCAATTTTTGAAAAAGAATAGAAAATTTAAAAAAATATAATTTTTTTGAAAAATTTAGAACTATTTTTCGGTTGAGTAAAAAAAATTAAGTTTTTTTTTATCTGGTAGAAAAAAATAAAAAAGTTTCAGAGCCATTCCACGCGTAACGGATAGGACAGTTGCCGTGTTTTTATTTACAAAATAATATTGTTCTATTATATTACCAATGTCAAATTTTTAAATAGTATATAAATAGTTCTAAAATAAAGCTGTTTAACAAGGTTTTTATTTGACGGGACTTCGTAATAGTCCCGTCCGTTAAGGAATTAAACAGTCAATCACGATACCTAATTTTTCCAAATAAAAACCTTGTTAAACAGCTTTTGTTTAGAACTATTTATAAAAATTTGACATTGGTAATATAATAGAACAATATTATTTTGTAAATAAAAACACGGCAACTGTCCTATTCGTTAGGCGTGGAATGGCCCTTCAGCCAAATCGAAAGAGGTCGGGGTCAAAAGTGCTTGATTTGGTATTTATTTTCTAAAAATCAGAAAACTGTAAACTTGATGACATCAAGCTGGATTTGGGCCTTGCAAAATTAAAGTCATTAGACTTTAATTTTGCAATTTCCAAATCCAGCTTATTGAGGATTGCAAACAAGAAGGATTTTCTTAAATTCGTTGCCGAGATCAGACATGCAAAGATTAAAGTCCATCGACCATGGGAATAATTAAGTTCTCAAACGATATTAGGCTTGTTCGAAATCAGCCACCGCAAATTTGATGGCGCTACTGTTCCAAAGCAAACGGCTATCTTGATTTCCATTACATAATCAAAGCATTTTCTTGTTAGTTAGTTGGTTAGTTGGTTGGTTATAAAAGTTTGAAGGTTCTTGTTCGAGTCAATTATTTTTATTGGAATTTATTGTACGTTTCATAAAAATAATTAAGTTAATGTTTGGGATGAGACATAAAAAATGGAGAAAGCAATTGATTAATAAAGTTAATTAAGGTCTTTCAAAAAATAAACAAAATGTTTTATCTACAAGGCAAATCAATATTAAAAGGACTTGCACGGTAACTCTTGAATGATTTCTTTCATTCCTAATATATTTATGCCCGACCTTGTGTAAAATCGCTGTTGCCAAGTGCATTTGGCCATCAAAGGGCAAGCAAGTGAAAAAAAAATGTCGGTGTGTGTTCGTTATCGCCTTACGACGAGCTTTACAACATACACTGCGTGAAATTTTTTTTAAAGTCTGACCGTGTTTATCAGAAACAACTTCTTCTTGCTATCATATCAGATGAAAAAATGTTTTCTTTCATTTTTTTTAGTATAGCTTGAAATCTAATTGATCGATTTGGTCAAACAAGCTCTTAAATTGAAGGTATTTGAGCGGGTTCGGAGGGTCCGGTTGTCATAAAATTTACTTTATTATGTTGGTATACATGCCCCCGAAGTATGATAAAAACTTTAGCTGTTTTCATTGTTTACTTTGTCTGTGGCAGCCGCTAAGGTTAGACGTGTTTTATGAGCTCGGCGATTTTTCGTTCGTTAAAAGAAATGGAACAAAGAATTTGTTTCCAATTTTGCTTAAAAATGAAATAAATTCTGTGAAATGTTAACAAAGGCCTATAGTGAGTCTGCTATAAGTAAAACAAGAGTTTACAAGTGGTATAAGAGTTTCCAAGATGGCCGTAAAGACGTTGAAGATGACGAAAGCCCCGAACGCACAAGCACATTAACAACCGATAAAAACATGGAAAAAGTGGAAGAAATGGTTATAAACCATTAGAGAAGTCGCTGATGATGTTGGTATATCGATTGGCTCATCCCATGAAATTTTTTCGAATGTTTTGGGTATGAAACGCGTGGCAGAAAAATTTGTTCAAAAATTGTTAAATTTTGAACAAAATTTTTGGCCAAAAACAATACTGTAATGATGTACCAGCCTCCATATTCGCCAGACATGCCTCTGTCTGACTTTTCCTATTCCCAAAAATAAAGAGAACCTTAAAGGGCCGTCGTTTTGCAAGCATAGATGACATTAAAAGCGCATCGCTGAAAGAACTAAAGGCCATCCCAAAGATCGAGTTTTAGAAGTGTTTCGAGTATTGGAAGAAGAGCTGGCACATGTGCATAATATCCAATGGGGACTATTTTGAAGGCAAAAACATTAATGTAGACGAATAAATAAATATTTGTTTCAAAAAACGAAAATTCCCGATATTTTTTGAACACACCTCGTAAAAGGGCATATTGCTAAAACCACAATTTTATCCAAACTTTTGCCAGTTACTGTATATATGCTTCGCAACATTGTGTCACAAGTTGCAGGAGCTTTACTCGTCGATCGGTCCCATTGGTGATTCGATGCGGAAATTTCCTTCTGCATGCTGAACTTTACATGTTGGGTTAATTACGTGACAGATTCCGTAAATTATTTAGAATCCTTGCTGTAGCTAAAATCAGTTGATGCGTTTGAAGTAAGCTGCAAGCTTAATCAATTATTTGAGAAACAAATTGTTTTTTGTTTTGTCCTTAGCTATATACGAGGTGTGTTCAGAAAATATCTGAATTTTCGTTTTTTGAAACAAATATTTATTTATTCGTCTACATTAATGTTGTCGCCTTCAAAATAGTCCCCATTGGATATTATGCACATGTGCAATACTCGAAACACTTCTAAAACTCGATCTTTGGGATAGCCTTTAGTTCTTTCAGCGATGCGCTTTTAATGTCATCTATGCTTGCAAAACGACGGCCCTTTAAGGTTCTCTTTATTTTTGGGAATAGGAAAAAGTCAGACAGAGGCATGTCTGGCGAATATGGAGGCTGGGGCATCATTACAGTATTGTTTTTGGCCAAAAATTTTGTTCAAAATTTAACAATTTTAGAACAAATTTTGCTGCCACGCGTTTCATACTAAAAACATTCGATTTCATGGGATGAGCCAATCGATATACCAACATCATCAGCGACTTCTCTGATGGTTTATAACCATTTCTTACACTTTTTCCATGTTTTTATCGGTTGTTAATGTGCTTGTGCCTTCGGGGCGTTCGTCATCTTCAACGTCTTCACGGCCATCTTGGAAACTCTTAAACAACTTGTAAACTCTTGTTTTACTTATAGCAGACTCACATAGGCCTTTGTTAACATTTCACAGAATTTATTTCATTTTTTAAGCAAAATTGGATACAAATTCTTTGATCCATTTCTTTTAACGAACGAAAAATCGTCGAGCTCATAAAACACGTCTAA